TCAGTATCTCCCAGGAGGAAGATCTCTGAGGCATTAAAGAAGAAAACAAATTTAATGTATTTTTATATATATAAACCTCATATGTCTAGTTTAATTATATATCTATATATGCAATTTTTTTCCTATGAAAGGTACCATCAAATTTAAGGACATCACCATATTAATTTTGTTCCAGCTTAGACTTACTCAACAGCAAAACGTTTTTAGCAAGGAAGAGCACTGCTCTAGGGCCTCTTCTACCCCATCAAATAGCCAGCATCATCCCTCTCCTATAACTTTAGTTTAGCCCCAAAGGTACACTTGTTCCAAATAAAACTGGTGCTTTTTGTTGAATACAGCTCACCTCTGAAAAGAGTTATGAAGCCAGACTAGAAAGACTCTATAGGCTTCACTAAGTTCCTTGCATGTGTGTCTGCCCCAGAGACTTGTTTTTAACTCTCACTCCACAGAGAAGCAGGTCTGTAGCCAGGCTGAAATGGCCCAAAGTATCTTTGCTGAATAATCCAGGTCACCCGAACCCCCTCACGATTGCTGTTAACAACCCAAGGCCAGACCAATGTCTACTGAAGTCAATGAGACATTTTCACTGGTCCATGAAATCTTAGTTAAGAATTGTGAGACACCAAGTCTTCTCAGTAAAATCTCAGTCCTTTGGAAATTTAACTAAGCAGGATCTGCCCCAGGCTGTCTCTTGGCCAGCAGTCCTTGTACCATACTTCATAATTCTAAGATTAGAAGGGATGAAGTCCCCATACCCATTCTTTATTCCACTTCTTTATCATCCTAAAACCTGCTATGATTACAGGTAGTAGGTATATATCCTGATAATTAAACATGACTTAGGAAATAGATGATTATAACTCTTCCAACTCAAAATGATGCAATTTATGTTAAAAGGCTATTGAAGATCAACACTGATACAACTCTTTATGGAGAGGTCTGGTGAGGCTCCAGATGATGCCCTGCACTGTCTCTTGTCATGCTGGTTTTCTTAAGCGGTTCAGGAAACACCACTGCTAGAACACAGACTATGGAGCCACAGAGCTATGCCAACAGCCCTTGTGTTGTCTATGGTAACGTCTATAATGGATTTGGAAGAATAAAGCAAATGTTTAAAAGACCTACTAGATAATACATCAAGAAAAAAAAGCAAAACTGCACAGAGATTCATCTGTATAATTAAAAAAAAAAAGTATGGCTAGAAATACATTTCTTGAAAAGCCTGGAGAAACTGTCTTAAAATGAGCAACCCTGCTAGCACAGCAGAGCACTTCAGTTAATCTAGGAGTCCCTGCATAAAATTTAAGAATAAATTAGACCAACTGTATATTGAAATCTTTTCGTAAAGTCATATTCAAGGTTTGAACTTGCCAAACTCATAAACTGCTTAGACATTGGTTACCCGCTTTACTGACTTAAAGACAAAAGTGGTGATTTTAATTAGTCCAAAACCACATAGGAATATTCAACAAAAAAACCTATTGGAATTGTTACTTAAGATTTTTTTTTTTTTTAATGGTTCACCAGTACTCAAAATGTCTCCAACAACAGACAATATGCTCTGCTTTCATCCTGTGTAAGTGAGAGGGATCTTTCTAGCAGATATTGTCCCTTGTGGCTGTTGTTAATGATGAAAGGCAGAGCTCAGCCTTTCTAGGAATTACCGCATACTTGAGAGTGCTCCAGATGCGTGATCCCAGGCCAACTTCTTCACAGGCTTCTGGACAGCCAGCTCTTACCTCAGCAGAATCCACCGTGCAGCCTGCTCCCAGCCCCTGCTCCCAGCCCCTGCAAGGGTTATCCATCCATTCCCCAGCTCCTCTCCTCTCCAACAGCCTGGGACAGCCCAGCTCAGAGGGACTGAACAGGCAGCCACACTGGGTGTCTTCTCCCCACAGGACTCGTTGGTCTGCAAGCCTGGGCTCAAAATATTTCCTTAGAGGAAATATCACTTAAATCTCAAAGAACCTAGTTTAGAAGAATCCCGAGAAACGAATGTGAAACCATCAAGTGAAATCCAGATACCGTGACTGACAACCTGACTACAAATATTTTTGAGGGTATGCTTTTTGAAATTCCGAGTACATTCAGCAGGTTTGGGAACTGTTGTTCCATGGTGTCTCATGAAAACCTCTGAATTTTCTATTTTTCTTCTGTCAGAAAACTCAAACTGAGAAAGAACACAGGAAAAAAATGAAGGCACAGTAAAGCTATCTAGACATTATCAGACCTCTGGAAACATTTAGCTCTAGAGCTATTTTTTATCTGATCTATTTTGGCCATCCTCACAAGCCATAAAGCGAACAAAAACTTGAAAAGCCCCTCTCAAACAGGGTAGAGCAATGCAGCATTCAAGTTTGACTGAGACAGCAGCTAAACAAAGAGTGCTCTTTGCCGAATTTTCTTTAATAATCCAAGTTGCTTAACACAACTCTGGAAGCCAAACTGCTTTCTATTTGTCACACCCTGTAGTCCCTAAAATACCTACTAACACAGCCTGCAAGCCAGTGCACTGTTATCTCCCTAAGAGTTGACAAGATACACACTCTGTCAGTATCCTACTGAAACTTCACAAAACCAAACTAATACAAAACTTTAATGCTCTAGACTTCATTACTTTATTGTACACTGTACTTACCTACCCAACTCTCCAAAATCCTTTTCCTTTTAACAAGAAATAACAGCAGGAATTACCAAAGCAGAATGTTTTTAAGAACATCTAAATACAAGCAACTTTGCCTGGAAGAACATAAAGATAAAAATGAATGAATGAGGTAAAACTCTCTTCTTTTAACCTGACTGATCTCTACAGACTCATGGCCTGGCTGCTTCAGCTCTGATGCTGCAGATCTCTGAGGGGTCTGTGCTCCTCCAGAACAGCAACAGGTTCAACTGAAACTTGGGAAGTTTTACTCATCCTCCTGCAGGGTCTAAGCCCAAACCATTACCATCATTGTGTCTGCAGGAACTCTGCAGGCAGCACTGGAGAGTTTGGAAATTGGAACCACCCCAGCAGATCAGATCACTGTGAATTGGGCCAAAGCAGATCACTTATAGATTATTTCTGCCAAGTTTTCCTTCAACAAAAGAACCAGAAGATGCCTTCACTACAATTGTAGCTCTCAGACAACCTTTTTAGATTAATTTGCAATGCAAATGTATTCCTCCTCTAACCTCATACCCACACAGTCCATACTAAGCGTGTGTCCAGTGGGAATACAATATGAATGTAACACCGTTTTCTAGTTAAATACTAGAATTTTCTGTTGAATACAGTAGTTACCTTCTCAAGAACTCTTAAAATACATTCATAGATGAATTTTGACTTTGAGAAGTTATTATGATTAGTCAAATTAGCATTGCAAGTGTAAAGATGGTGTTTTATACGCAGATATCATTGACTTACCTACTTAAGCTGACTGAAGCATCCCCACACTGTGTTTCCTCAGAGGCCTTCAGGAGGAATGTCCATCTTGTGGCACACACACCAGGCTGAGGATTGGGATCTTGTTCCAGCCCATGGGTCTGACAAACACCTGCTTACTTTAGGCACGTTTCTGCCTTTCATTGTCTCTCCAGTATGGCAATACAGTTTCACCAGGGAGCCCAGCCATGTCAATTACACTTTCCCAAGTGCAATGGACCAGGGGGGGGACCTTCTCCTTACCGATTTAGGAAGAAATCTCTTTTGTTCTTGCAGGAACGGGCTGGCCGATATGATACAGAAGGATTTAAACTGACTCACCAGAGGTCAAGGACCAGAAACCGAGTCAAAAGCTTCTTGTATTTTTTATTCAACAGGACATGTGTGTGGCCAAAGGCAAAACTAGCAGGATGGGGTGTTGTGTCCTGCAGCGTGGCTGTAGGGACAGGCCTCAAAGAGCGAGGCCCAGGCCGTCGTGCCTCGATTTCCTCAGCTCTCGGCCTCCAACTCGTGTCACCGAGCCCCTCCCTGACCCACAGGTGGGTTTTACACCATTTCATCTTCAAGGTGTAGCCACAGGCTGCTCCCTTCGCTTTGTGACCTCTCTGACCACGCCCTCTTCAACCGCCGCAGGGAAAAATCTCTCCTTTTAAAGCTTCTTTACCCCTTTTCTCCAGTGTTTGGCTGCAGCCACCAGCCCTTACGCCACAGAGAGCTCACCTTTGCACTCCTTAAACTTGAACAGAGCAATTTGGGCATCCAGGTCGATGAGCCGGCAAGCTGCTGCAAAGCGGCCCTTCACTTACCCCGCTAATTTCACCATCAATTAGCAAATATCAATTAGCAGGGAAGGGGCCGCCGGGGGAGGACCTGTAAAGCCCGGCCCCTCGGGCCGCTCAGAGGCCGTTCCCTGAGAGGAGCTCTCGCGCCGCCAGGGGGCACCGTTGGGGCGCGCGCGGAGGATGGCAACGTTTTGGGTTAAAAGCGGATAACAAGAACACCTGGTGTGTTATAATCGGGCACGTTATATTGCACATCAATAAATAAACCCTCTGCAAGAAGAAAACAACGCTTTGGGGCAAAAAAAGTGCCGGGTTAGAGCAGCAGCAAGGAGTTAGGGAACACACATGGCCGCCCTGGTGGAGTGTAACAACCAGGAGAGGAACAAAGGGTGAGACAACAGTGCGAGACAAACCCACAAAATCAGGAGAAGATCTGACCCACACCTCCCTCCAGAGAGAGGAGGGCACCGTGCTTTAGTACAGGGGGGGTGAGAGGCTTAAAAGCTGGTATGAAAATACGGTGCCTCCCTCTAGTGGGTTCTCTCTTTGTGACCATGTTTTACGTGGAGAAACTGTGAAGCATCTGAGGACTACAGACACTTAGGCTGAGTTTAACAGCTCACCAGACTGCCAAGCACCGGGGAGCTGTTTGTGCCCCAGCAGGGACATCAAGAGCTTGGTCCCATCATGACTCAGCACAAAACCCGTGCGTGGAGAGTTACACACCCAGACTGCAGCCATAATAGCCTTTGCCACAAAGAGGTCAGGGTATGAAAACCACAGTTAACATCATCTTTTTCCTTTCAATGCTTGTGCCTTACCTTTATTAAAGGTGTTACAGAACAACAGCCACAGCATGCTAGTCTGTTAGCAGAGAGGGTTAACAGTGGTAGAGAAGGAAAGCAGATAAGTGACTCCTTTACAAACAGTTACCGTGTTCTCTATTCATTTTTTTGTTGTTGGAACAGTGATGCCTGCTTCAGAGGAGAGAAACTGCCTCTGGAGGAGACCAAACTTACATTTCTTCTGCAAGTATCCCAAGCTCATGCTTCACAAACTCTTGAGAACTGTTTGGAAAATTAAGATAACCCTGTCACTCCAGGAACCACCTTCCTTTTTGCATAGCTGTGCACACAGGGCTGCCACAGCTGAGGGACAAAGCCAGAGAGAGCTTCTACCAAACATTAGTAAACTTCCCTTTTCACAGCAGCATTGAAAAAAGCCGTTATCTTGCTCAAATGCATTAAAGCATGCAATCTGAACAATCTACAGCCGCAGCTTTGATTCTCTGAACACATTCTCCTTTCCAGCTTTGGGCAGAGCCAGTCCAAAGGGGCAGAAGCTCGTTCACTTGGCCTCAGAGGGCCTTAGAGAGCCAGCCAGGCAACGGGCACTGGGTCTGCGCTTTGAAGATAGAGGGAAGAAGTTTTACTCATCCATCATACCTTTTATTGTCTAATATCAGTTACGTGGATCATCTTTAGGGAAGTCGAGGGGTAAGAACCGGGGAACGTACCAGCTGCACTTTACAGATAAAACAGCCACAAAAATAGAAAGCGACTATACAATCTCTGGGTTTCACAAAACTAGTTTTCATTTGTAACACTTGACGCAACAAGATTAACTGCAACAAGTGAAGAAGCTACTTCTGTAAAGTGCTACTTTTGTTAGAAGTGGCTAGAAGCTACTTCTGTAAAGTGCTACTTTTGTTAGATGTGGCTAAAAAAAAAAAGCACAACTACAACAGATTTGGGTATCCGGTGGTTAGATTGTCGGTGTCTTCCAAATCTCTCCTTTCAGGCTCTGTGTTTTTTGATGAAGTTGATGAGCCCGTTTGTCGAGCTATCGTGAGATGTCACTGGAGCATCTGACTCCAGTTCAGGCTCAATTTTCTTGGCAAGTTGTTTCCCAAGCTCAACTCTGCATTTATAAAAACAGGAGAAGAAAGAAGAAAAACAACATTAGTGCTGACAACTTACAGTATTTACTATAAGCTATAGGTGCCAATAAAAAGTGAATTGACAGTGAACACCGATGAATGTTTTTCCCTTCACAAATACCAAAGTTAGTATTATTCAACTCTGTGGCAGCCATGAACAACTGGAGCTCTCACAGCTGCTCAGCCAAACAGACAGCTCTCACATTACAGGATGTCTAGAGAAAGTTTTGTTTTAAGAGTTTGAGTCTTTTCCCCTTCGGTACTTGTGTGTCACACAGCCTGCCCAACACAGAATGCATCCAGCCTGCTACTGCTCACTGCTGAACCCACATCACTCAATCCCCAGAAAATCTGTTTTCTTTTAAAACTATCCTGTAATAATTTGCTCTAATACTTTTTTTTTTTTCCCAATGTGGTGACTGCTTAAGAAATTGACGGTGGTATCCTGGTGTAAGTGCACAAGAAAAGATCAAGGAGACTTACCCCCACTGGTCATAACTGTTAATATCCCAGACAACTCCTTGAACAAATATCTTGTGCTCATACATGGCTGTAAGCAGAAAAAGAGATTTATCAATAAATTTTATCAGAATGTCTTAATAAGCACTCACAGATGAGTGATTTACTTACAGATGATTTACTTACCAATGATGGCTCCCAGAGTGAACGGGTTGAGTTTTGTAAACATGATGGAATTGGTTGGTCGATTTCCCTCAAAGACCTTTCCAAACAAGAATTACATTGTTATTTAGTATGTTGTAAAACTCACATCAGGAACTTGCAGTTTTCGTTTTCCTTACAGTCCACATTGGATTATTTGTATTAGCAGCAAACACAAAATCCTGAAAGCTTTAAAGGCTAACAACTGCAACCATTAAATGGTATCGCCGTTATGTTTTATTACAAACACAATGGCAAAATATTATCTCCAAAGCACCATCAGTGGCTACTATGGGCTAGAGGAAGAACTTAGACACAAGTCAATATGCCAGGGGCTCACCCTTTCTGAAACACCTCAGAAGGCTTCCTGAGGAGTGTGCTTTTAGCAAGAGTGACCTTGGGGGCTGCTCCAGCAGATGTGAGGAGCAGAACCCGTAACACCACCTGGCAGTAGCACACGGCAGCCACCGGAGGGCACTGCCCATCAGCGAACCCCACCGAGCAGCGACCAGCACGGTGTCCTCACCACCACTCACCAGGACCTCACCAGAGAAACACCAGAGTCTTGCTTACCTTGTGGGGAAGGAGCTTCTCCAGAGCATCTCCGCTCAGTCCTGCCGCTTGAAGTTCCTTGCGAGCCTCATCAGCAGTCTTCCCTTTCATCAAGGCCTCGGTCTGGGCAAGGAAGTTGGCCAAAAGGATCTAGCGGGGAGAAGTAAAGACATCAGCTCAAGATACCTGGTGCTTGAACCTAGACCAAGGCCTCTTGTTTTCAGCACTATGGCAGTAAGATGTGCAGTATTTGAAATAATGCTGCTACTGCTTTTTACCTGAAAGTGCCAGAGCCTTGACTACTATTTTAATAGTGCCTGTATCCACGTTCTGCACAATCCTGCCCTGCTGAAGCTGACAGCGAGTCTCCCTGGGAGAACAAAGGAGCCAGGACTTCATACCCCCCTTTCACCCAGCACAGCCTGTACTTTTATCCCATGCTACACCATACACATGGATTAGTCACAGGGGATCGATTGAGATATATTTACTCTGTATGAAGGAAATCCCCACACCACACCACGTACCAATCCCATATCCCAATCCCTACCCATGCAGTAGAAGTTGTTAGTTTCCTATTCCCTGATTAACTTCAGCTTGCAAATTCATGTGTGGTTTTATCCTACCCGTTAAACTGAACTCTTACTATACCTACAGTTGAACAAAACCTTTCCTCCTCTTCTTTTGCCAAGTCAGGTTCTAAAACTTTCACCTGTACTTGGTGTTGATTGAAATTTATTGAGGAAGCATGTTTTTTCTGAAGTATGCACTACGCAGTATACCTGGACATGTTTCTACCTATGGAATTTAAATTAAAAAATCGTTAGACACTCTTCACTGAAAATCCTTAGTTGGATGATACGTTAAACTAAAAAAAATGGACTGCTTAAATATATCCATGTGTAGCAGGCTCTGCCCCAGCCATACTAGTATACTCACTAGATTTTGTCCTAGCTTTTAAGACTTGCAACAGCATCTCTGAGGAAGTTTTCATCAGCTCTGAGAATTTCTTTCTTCCTACTCTGCAAGAATTACACTCTTTCCAATTCCTACAAGGACTTTTGTCTCCAAATACTTAGTTGCTCAAGTCTTTCCAGCCTCAGCAATCCAACAGGTGACACCATCGATCTGTCTCATGAACTGTGGCTGCAATTTCTTCAAGAGTAAAAATACCACCCTATTACATATAATATGTAATTCTCATTTAGGTATTTTCAAGCCTAGTGTGAATGTCCACAGGGCCTATGTGTAGAGCTTCAGAGGGACATCTGGAAGTCTTGCACACTGCAATACTGAATAAGCTTCAGGGCCTGTAGCTACAGGAAAATACAGGTGCCCTGACAAAGAGCTTATTACCTTGTGATGCAAACCATTTCTGATTGGGTGCTGGGTCTGGACTGGGATCAGAAAGTCACAGGGAATCATGCGAGTTCCTATAAGAAAAGCCACGTTAATAACCTGCAACAGGAAAGTCTTAAAGTCTTCAATTCTCACTCCGTATTCAGAGTTACTGGAAGACTCAGCCACTTTAAGAAGCTTTTTTTTAAAAAGCTTTTTTTTTTTTAATTAACAGCAGGGAGGAGTGACAAAAAAGCTCACTAGTTTCAGCTTTAATCAACCCTCCTTATTGTAGAAGTAAGACCTGCATCTTGTAGCCTTCTAAAGCCACTCATTAAGAGCCCCATAGCAATGTTATGCCAGGTTAGAGGACAGCCCAGCCCCTAAAGCCATGTCAGTTCTGCAGACTCTTGCAGCTTTCTAGCCATTCAGAATTCAGCTTCAAAACAAGGTATTGAACAGTTCCAGCTTACCTTGATGAATGAGCTGGTAAAAAGCATGCTGCCCGTTGGTGCCCGGCTCTCCCCACACAATGGGGCAGGTGCTGTAGTCCACCCGAGAGCCTTTCTTGGTGATGTACTTGCCATTAGACTCCATATCCCCCTAAAAGAAGGGAAGGGCAGCGTCACCTTTATTGCAGAACCAGTTTCCATACATACTTCAACTATAATGAGTGCTGCTTTATTTACAGAAATTTCATCAGAGATATAGCTGCTTAATTTACAGACACCAAGAAAATAGAGGTCTGAGCAAAAATAAATCTCTAAATTAACTGAGCAAATAAGCTAATATCAGTCTTGGCATCAGTGTCTTTAGGCCCTTGATTACATGAATTTAAGTGATTGCAATTTCAGCCTAGCACCATGCATTCAGGTTCTAGGGCCAGGACAAATGCATATATACATATTTGCCTCCTGAAACTGTCTCTCTGCCTGAGCCTTACCTGCTGGAAGTAGGCAGCGAAGCGGTGCATGTACTGGTCATAGGGCAGAAGGGCATGGGTCTCACACCCGTAGCAGTTTATATACCAGACCCCCAGCATGGCCAACAGAACAGGCACGTTCTTCTCCAGCGGGGCCGTGCGGAAGTGATTATCCTACGTGACACAAAGGTAAGAGAGTTACACTTCTGATAAAGCAATCATCATCATCCCTCCCAACTCTTAAATTGCTTTATTGTTGCTTTGATCCAGGGAGAGCCTCCCAAGCACAGTTATTTTAGAAGCATTGAGAGGACACAGGGAAACCAACCTGCCTTCAGTTACCTTCTAACAACTGCTAAGAGGAGCAAATCTGAAATAGGCGTCGCATACTCACCATCCAGTGGGCTCCTGCAAGCAGGTTCTCAAAGTTGTCAAAACCTAGCAATGGAAAAAAGTCAGTTTATATTTACAGTTACAACTCAAACTTTATTTTTCTTGCAGAGACAATCATAAAACAGTTGAGATTCCTTGTATGCAGCAAGGCTCCCAACTACTAATTGTGTTCAAATTTGCATCCCATCAGGCAGATATATTTAGTTATGATTAAAGCCTGGACTTCAGAGCAAGTCCAACTTCATGAAACACACTTCAAAAACCTTTGCCTAAAATCTCCACTCAGGCAGGATGAGCAACTGGAAGGAAAGCAGAGACATTAAAACCAGGCTCTGTATTAAAGGCTACATAGTTCCCAGCAAGACTGAACCCTCAGTCACTTCACAGCCACGGCAGGAGTGATATTCCCAAAAACAACAGGGCAAGGCTAGCACAGCAGGCATTTCTGTTTTGGTCAGAGGAAAACCAACCGTAATAAAACCTCAAATAGAAAAGTTTCCCCCCATTCCCTGTTCTCTTAACAATTCACCTAATTTTTCTTTGCTCTATAATTAGAGTATTTAAATCACCATTCATTTTCACTAATGAGTACTTTAATTAATATTACCCTTTACTGCAAAGCCAGAAATCCTGATTCTTATATGGAAAAGTGGAGGTGAAGTGTCTGGCAATCCCAGCAGCAGCTCTGCCTATGGTCAGAAGCCAGCTCTGGGAGATGAAGGATGCGAGAGCACGAAGTGCCAACAGACTGGCACGTCAGCAGCCAGCACCAAATCTGTCTGACAGCAGAGATGAACAGTGTATTGCAGACAAAACACTCACTGCCTGACTGAGGTTTATTTTGCTGTTCACACAGGTTTTTCTACACATGACAACTCCTATTCATCATTCCAAAAACACCAAAACCAATGTTTTTCTAACCTCAGTCTAAGGCAATTCTAGGTTTTGTTTAGAAAAACAAACGACATTATGGTTTCAGACTTTAAATATCTGAAAGAAGTGATGAGGGAACAAGCGCAAGGCTGATGAAGAGCCTGCTCACCAGGAAACAGCAGTTCTTTGAGCTATTTCACTTTCACTGTGTGATCTCCACCCGCATTTGAGATCTGCATAAGAAATGCTAACACAACCCCATAACGATACAAGTAGGTGGGGATCAATTTAGAGGTTCTATATTTGCTCCACAATCCTGCAGATCGAAAGAGCATTTCTGTATCACCAGGCCCTGTAGCCTAGAAGGGCAAAAGGCAGTAAAGGGAGAAGGAGATCGTTAATGCTCAACAGAGCTCATATGCAGAACTGGAGACAGGATTGTGATGTTTAGTGTGCATGTCCTCACAGAAACTAAATACCCTGCTCTTAAATAGTTTAGGAATTTCAGCTGCAAGGTCTAATTTTCAACATTGACATGGCTTTACATAAATCAGGCACTTTTGACTGTGCAAGTGATTAAAGAGATGCAATTTGACTAATTGTACCTAAGTACGGGTAACTTCCAAAAGTGCACTTACAGTATGGAAACTTCGACACTTCCATTGCATTACAATAGATGTTATTTAGCACAAACATCCAACTCCTCAGAGTAGGCTGGGTAAAATAATATTTGTCCCAAGTCTGATCCACAATCCAGTATTGTTAACCATTCCACAGTTACCTCCCCAGAGCAAACAGATTAATTCTTGGCATTGCTGTCCCCCAGGAATACCTACCGATATGCAGGGCAATGGAGAGACCAATGGCAGACCACAGAGAGTAGCGGCCACCAACCCACTGAAAACAAGAGATTGGGTTAGAGAGGAGAAGTGCAAGGCTTTTACAGTCAAACTATTAGGAAATAGCAGCATGTGTTTACACTATTTTCAGAAAAATCCATGCTTTTTCTGGTGATAATTCACTACACATTATATGGCACGCTCAAGGGAAGCTGCACCTTACAGGAGCCCCCTAATGAATCCTTAAATATGTACTTTTTTATAAAGTTATCTTACTTGTCTGATTTATATAACATCTGTTGAAGCAGATCCCTTGATGATTCCAGTTCACTTCCAAATGCTAAGTTTGCAGCTTGCATTGACTGCCTCCCTAATATCACTCCTCCATAGGTAAAGCCTGCTTCAGCAAGATTACAGCACTACCTAGGGAAGGGTAATGCTCTGGGTAATTTCTAAACAGCAGCTTTAAAATCCAGTTTGTCAGGCCCATAGTCAATGAGACATAAACCAACCTGTTTCTGATTAAGTGTAAGGGCCAAGACTAAGGGCAGTATACTTAAAATATGCATCTGCTACAAAATATCAAGTTAAGGTCCCATTTCTGATGTTTGACCTTTACAGGCCTAGATTACATACAGTTAGACCCCAACAGTCAAATGTCACAGCTTATAATAACTACTTACACGGAGGAATAAGCTAAGGCTTGTATCTCCTGTTACCCAACAGCTGATCAGACAGCCAAGAACATAGAAGGCTCCTGTTCAGACCTTTGACTGCAGGATTTTAATGGAATGGCCAAGAGACTACTGTTTTTGCTTGCCTGACAAGTTTTCAGATGTCTCACTACAGGGAGCACAATTACTGTAATTTAAGTGTTTTGGCAGTTCCCTGACATCAAGTTAGCATTTTCTGAAGCAAGTTAGATTATTCTAACAGTTAGCATCTACCACACAACATTAGACATGTACTTACATCCCAGAACTCAAACATGTTCTCTGGGTCAATTCCAAAGTCTTTAACTTTAGGCTAGAATAAAAACAAACAAACAAACATGTAAGAACACCATAAGTAAACCCAACATTCTCAAAAAGATTTATATATCTACAAAATACAAGTTGGGTACCTATTAAGTACTCAAATTTCCCAGTTACACGCTCCATTTTAAAAATACATAGCATCCATTAGAAAAAAGTGTACCTTCATTTCCAGAGATCACTATCACTACTCAATAGTCTCAAATAAAGTCAGTGACATACACTCATTTGCTGATCAGTTTAAGTGGCAATATGGTTAGGAGCTGGTCTGACATTCAGTTTACCCTTACCAATGGACCAAAGGAACTTCCCCCCACAGTACCCTACAGCCTCTCAATTATTGCAGAGTCTTTTTCTAATTGCTATTGGTCTTTCTACTTCATACTTTTGCGTCAAACACCACATTAGGGTCCATTATGCTCATCATATGATTATTCACACAAACTGCCTGCATCACTTCAGCACGTACTTGAGTCCAGGAGAGCAGTATTTGTTTACCTAACTGCATTCATGCCCACTTAAACAATTACAGGTAACACTCACTAACAACAGGACAGTCATTTTGAGTATAAGAGATTTGATTTCTGATTTAAAGCTCTAGCAGAAAAAGCACAAATCTATAACGAAGGTCCAATCTTGCTACAGTTTATTACTCTAGAATTGATTATTTTCAGTAGAAAAAGATAACGGCTCCTTTCAAGATGGAGGTTAGCTATTGGTATTCAAGTAACAGTAACAGTGTTTTAAAAGACAGGCTTCCTTACTGGATTTTAAAATTAGAACATCTTAAAAGTACATAGGAGAAAGATAAATAAATTTGCTATACTTACACCATTGGTAGACAAGGCAACAAAATGCTTGGCCACAGCTGAAGGCTTAATGAAAAATAAACACATTGTTAGATCTAGAATGTTAATTATTTTGATTTCTGGTCTTAAAGCTGATCTGCTCCATTTACATTTAAACAAGTGACTATCAGCAGTGCTTTCTGCATAATCAACTTGCAATCATCTTATGCCCATTCAGTGTGGGATGGGGCACCGTGCCTGTCTGAAGGTAACATTCCAGGAATATTCTCTGTGGAAGCTGTCACTGCTCAGAGCAGCACACCATTTCCTTAAGAGGATGCTCCCAGTGTGGAACACCCCTACCAGTGCTTTGGAGTGGAGGGAGTTTGTTGCATATGTGCTACCGGCAAGGGTCAAAAGATCAAGACAACTGGAATTACTGATAAATCTCAAGCTCAAGATTTACACTTTGGTCTTTCAGTAAATGTTCTGGTGACGAATGATGAGTCACCTGCAACAGCAGTGTAATGAGGAATTTCAAAGCCCAGCTTTCAAACTAAGTACAACTACCCTGACTGGAACAGGTTAATTACCTGAGCAGGCAGCATCTGCTTTTTTCTTTTGAAGGTTAGAAACAGGAGAGAATGAGCCAAATACAAGGTCTCTATTCATAGCACAGCCATCTGTCATTGAAATATCAGTATATCATTCCAACCATGGCTTCATTTCTAGTTTTTAAAGATTTGCCAAGAATTGGAAGGTAATGCCACATAGATACAATACCTTTGGATTTCCATATCAGTGGTTCCACCAAATTATTAGCCAGCTCTAATGCAAATACTCCAATGCATTACTTTGGAGGCAGGATTTGGGGTAACAACGCATGACAACCTTTTATAATGAAAAACTGGTGTTTTTATCACTTTGATTGGACATAACAGCCTGTCACTAAGCATGAAGATCTGAGATCTGTACAGCATTTGCTGAGCTGTACAGCTTAGGTCTGGCAGCGCTTGGCTCTGCTCCAAAGCACACAGACTAACCGGGGAGAAGCTGCACAAGGAAATGCTGTTGCTTTCTCTTAAGTAACCGAAACATATGAGACTTACATCTTTAGCAGCATGCAAGAACCACTCTTTGGCTGTTTCTGCATTGGTGATGGTTTCTTGGGTGGTGAAAGTCTGCACATCGGACAAAGAGGAAGTTTGTAAAACACTGTACAAGTAGGCTTGCTGGATTCATCTTAAACTAGCATATATCTGAAATTGGAGTAATTATTCCCCATTGCCTACCTTCCCTCCCCTAAAGTGTTATGTAAAACCTTGAGACTAAAATTTTCTACTTTAGTTTTTCACTAAATATGAAGTTTTACCATTCAACTAAAACGGAACTCACCGAGCATCAAAACAGTGTAACCTAAGCTGGACTTAAAGAACTCTTGTTCTTTAATTCCCACTTTTCATGTAAGAACACGCATTTCTGCTAAGGCTCTTGCCATAATTTCATTTTGCTGATTAGAGGAAAACATTTTCCTGCTTCCTGAAGTGTGTACAGAAGTTCAGTCATGCAGTTTTGCAAGTATCTACAACCATTCTGATTTACTCAACCATCAAAATTTAGCTTTAAGGGTGAACATTAGATTCAACCTACTCTCATCCATCTCCCAAAATATTTCATTATGAAACACAAGCCTGGGATGGAAAACAGAAAAATGCCATTCATCCTCTTCCAAATATATCCAATTATTTAACTACAGTCTGGCAAACAGAAACTGAAGTGCTACTCTTGCAATTTGGCAGTCTTCTAAGCCTTTGAACCGTGATCCTTGAACTCAATTATTCAAAGTGACCATTAGTTTTACTTTGTGAAGTTTCCTTATTATTCCATAGGTTGCTGCCTGGCTGCAGGGTTGCCAAGATAAGATAATGAGCAGCGCCGTAGAGCGTGGCCAGCACTACACACATGTTCATTTGTTGGAGAGTGTCTTCAACAGCAAAAAGGTTCTACTGTGATTTACAAACAAAGGCGACCCAAGTTACATAATTCTGAAGCTTGTCTTCATCAGCTTTCTCTGCTGAGACAGAAGCATTCCTCAAAGGCAGGTGGCAGCTACCAATTATGCTTACAGAATAAGCTAATAGCAAGGCAAAACTTAAAAAAAAAGGCAGCTATTAAGTCTGCATTCAGAAATAATCTTATAAACTACCAGCAGGCTATCTTTACCTGTTTGTAAGTAAAGAAGCTCAGTATTTAAAGTGCTCAAGGAACTCAGCTTTTAAGTTATTTAGGTGAAGACATTTTGATACTACCCTGAAACAGAAGGAAAATCCCCCAACTACATGCAATTTGTTTGTGCAAAACATAAAAGCAAAAAAAGAACACTGTACCTAAGATAAAGGACGAAAAGTAATCTTAGATAAAAGTAAGGAATGAGGCAACAAGATCTTGAATTTCAACGCAATAACCACATAGAATCCTGCATTCCACCCACAGAGAAGTGCAGTGAAACAAGCTTTTATGAATTAAGCTTAAACTTGTGTTGAATGTGAAATACACCTGAAACAAGCAATTTCCAGTCATTTTCAGCACTTCTAGATCCCCAAGTATTTCAGTAACAACACAAGCTCACACTGCAAGTTTAGGATGAATCACAGCATTTAGAAAGAGTCCACCCTAGAAGTCCCTGATCTAGATTCTCCTGCAGACAGATCTCTGTTCTGACTGAGCCCTTTACAGTTGAGGTCACCCCCCAGTGCTCATATCAGACATACCTTTGATGCAATGATGAAGAGCGTAGTGTCTGGTTTGAGCTCAGCCAGGGTTTTGGCTATGTGAGTACCATCGATGTTGGACACAAACCAAACACGAGGGCCTCCCTTGGAATATGGTTTCAGGGCTTCAGTTACCATCAGAGGGCCCTAGGCAGAAGCAACAATTGGATTTTATCTTCATTGCAAACACACACTCACAAAGCTGTGGAAGATGATACACGTGTATGTCAAAAACTTACCAAGTCAGAGCCACCAATCCCAATATTGACCACATCAGTGATTGCCTTCCCAGTGTAGCCTTTCCATTCACCGCTACGGACTCTCTGTGGCAAAGAAAAAAAATACATCACAGTGACTATTTTATACTTACACTGAAGTGTGCGATTCTAACGCTGGGAACAGGCTGTGTTTTCAGGCACTGTAGAAAGTGCCAAAGACAACTTTCAAGCTTCTAGAGTTTAACACCTACACCCAAAGCTACCTCCTTAGCTACACATGTCTACATTTTAAAGATGTCCAGAATAAAAGAACAATGAATTATATTTGAAGATAATGGTTAACTACTCTATTAACTATGGAACAAAAAAAACTTTCATGCTGCTAAAGCTGCAAACAGCATAGAATCATGAAGGAATCTGACCTAAAACTAGAAGACCTTTTAGAAACTATTTAAGTAGAGTGTAATAAAATTGCAAGTGAGCTGGGATGTTCTACCTCTCTCCTGATTTTACACAAATTTTAAGAGGCTTTTTCTACTTGATAGAGTCAAGTTGTTGAAAAATTAGTAAGAAGAAATAAGGCAACATTTCAATGGTACTTAATGATTTATGAGGTTTCTGAAGTAAATGCAAGATTAACTGCTAAAGGAGAGAGAGCCCATTAAAGAAAAATCCAACCAGGAGCAGAAAGAAAAGCAAATCATGCTAAAACCAGCTCCAACTACACTCTTGAGCCAGAAATACTCTAAACCTCAAAACAGGGCACAATAACTCATGTCAACCAGGCTACAATCAATGTTGCCCAATACACATGCAAGAACCTGGATGGGTGTAGAGCAAATGCATGAAATACAAGTTAAGGTGGTACTTTATACCTGGCAGAAGTGTTTCATTTTGTCCAACACTTTGTTTACTTCTGGAACAACATCCTTCCCATCGACAAGTATTGGCGCATTGGAACGGTTTCTCAGCGCAATATGAAGCACAGCTCGGTTCTGAAACAAGAAGGGGAAAACTGAGGAAGCTATTTCCAAACTATACCCAGCGGCCTCAGGTGCTGCATCCAGAAGGTTGTACAATCTTCAGGACTTTAAAATCCTTCAGATTCACTGGAATTAGCAGAGCAGTACTGTACATATACACACACTCATCACCAGCTGCCTAAATCACCCTCGCACTTCACAGAACCAGTGCACAGGGCTCATAAAAGCATATACTATGCAAAGTAAACAAATAGCTTATTTGTTATTACTCTGAAAAGAAAGCTCAAAATCCCTTGAAAAGCATTTAATTATTAAGGTTCAGAATTCAGCAATATTCAGTCCTCAGTGATCTGAATTATTTTGGCATGCTTCAGGTATACAAAGGTGAAGTTGTTTTGTATTAATGTTGATACTGGAAAAATCAATTATAACAAGCAGCCAAAGTTATTTTCTCTGGCATTTTCTCAATTACCCTGAGTAGTCCATTTCATATAGGAAGAGATAAATATGCATTTAAACATCTGACAAAAAGAAATACAATATCCACATTATTCTATCCACTGCCCACAGTTAAACGTTCCCTGAATACTTGCACAGCAGATATGTAGGTGGTAAGTGTTACGACAAAAATCTGTTAGGGTACACCAAATTGTATTAATTCTCCAGCTATACTCAAGTCAAAGCACTGAAATCTGGCCTGTGGTTCTCCTGCTCAGGAGCTTAACAGCTTCAATCTACAATGAAGGAGTTAGCCAATACTAACGAACAAATAAAAAATTTAGTCTGCTCTACCTCATTGTTCCTCACTACAGTGAGAGGCGTTGGGAGACAGAGACAACACAGACAATGTGAGCTGCCAAGTTTTGAATTAGCATTTGGTATTTCAATCATAAGTCATTGAGTTTGAGGTTACTGACTTGGAATACGAAAAAGCTCTTTCAGTTACTAATTATCAAAGCAAACCCACTTAAATTTGGGGTGAAGGGGGGCAATTTTTTTGCAACACTCAGCCATGGAATGGTATTATTTGGTAAATACTGCTCACCATCACACTTGAAAGCAGCTTTGTTTTGATCAAATATTGGACCTGATGTCCACTGTTAAATAGAAGTATTTTGTAAGTATCGGGTGGGCTGTGAAGAGTCTCCACAACGAGTGGTCACACATGAGTTACCTTGTAATGCACTGTCTTTGTGCTGTGTCAAGCTGCAAGTTTTAACTGATCTGGGACAAACACCTGGCCATGACATGCTTGGGCGCACTATAAAGAATTTCCACATGAGCACGCACCATGCAGCCAATGCCTGCAGCACCAAATACAGACAAGTCTTAAATACTTTAGACAAATAGCTTAAAAACATTCTAAATCAGAACAAGAGTAGCAGACAAGTCAGTTCTTGCTATTAAGCAGCTCCCTTCTGTCCTATTGCTTTAGGTTTATCCAGTCATGCCGTTGACAGCATCCTGTTTTTAGGTCTCATGACAACTTATCATTGTCCACATGTTCATATTCCAGAGTCAAACCAACTTAATTTGACATTATATACAAACAGAACCAACTAGACAAACCAAATCTAATTCCATGTCAACTTCTGACTGTAAACGAGAAACAGTCTGATAATGAGAACAATGTTTCTAAACTCATTGTGCAGATAATTGCTACATAAAATTGCCGTATCGAGACAGTAGCAAAATCGGGAGCTAGCAACAGGGGCCAAACACATCACAGTTTAATATTGTGTTTAAGTGCTTTCTGTGAAAATTCCATCCTTCTGAAAAGACTTCAGCTGCTAAGTTGGGCTAACCCTGTAATAATTTGTGTTACCCGAGGCTACTGAGAGGCAGTACCTGAGAAACCAATCCTCCAGGCAGATTTAAGACTTACCACCCTCTTCCCCTGCTTCCTTTTTTCACTAACCAGGAACACCTCTGTGAACAGAAGGCATTAACACAGAAGGAAGAGGAAACATTTCTCCAGTCGAGCTTTATCTGTTTCTGTCTCTGGATTTTCACAAGCATGCAGTATTCTCAAACAATACAATGTCCAACTGCTGAGTTATTTTAAGCAAATGGTTTGTGCAACAGCTAAATCAGTCAATAACCAAGCCAAAGGAAATGCCGATTCCTGTGAATTTACCTCAAACTTGCTAAATAGCCTTCAGTATTTAAGGCAGACTAATATATCACACTATACTGTTGAGTTTCCAGTTTTCATCCTATTTTTAATTTCAAAAAAGAAGGTACAGTTAGTTTTCTGTATGTTTTAGTGAAGATTTAGCCACAATTACAACCTTCAGATTTACAAAAAGAGGAAGATACTCATCCTGTTACTGATAAGGATGGCTAATTTCCCAAGATTGCTTATGGTCTCTACTGGTAAATGTACCCAACAATAAGTAGCATCAGCAACTCAAAGCAGAAAGTCTTACACAATCCTCACTAAAACTGTGGGCAGTTTACTAGGCTTTACCACCACTGACATTAGGCAAAAGCAGGTAAGGGATACCTGGAATGCAATACTCTGTTCCATGCCCTTTGCAAGATCTAACTCATCTTCCTCTCTACACAAGAGGGAAGACAAGAAAAGAAAAAAAAAAAAAAAACACGGCACCAAATCTCTAAAAAACACCCAAACCTAAGACGTGTGTTGAAGGGAGGACTGAATAGCTTATTCACACACATTTTCTTCTTTTTGTCACAGCTGTAAAAATTTCTCACGTAAGTAGTGAAGCAAGCATTACAACCACTCAGTACCTCAGAGTAGCAATTAAAGTAAGTTTTTTCAAGACTGCTACACAGGTGCATGAACATCCATAATATATAGGCACAACTGAGGGGAAAGAGCCACAGCCAGAAATAGCCTTACCTCAGTGAAGTTGATCTTCTCCCCGCTGAACATGCGCTCCCTGGCACTCTCCACACCCCTTGACTTCGCCTGAGAAATGTAAAAATAGATTCCTCTTAAAAATAGTAAGAAGTCAAAGGTCCAGCACTACATAAAAGTGTGAGCATTTACCATGTAAGACAGTGAAGCAATAATTATGATTTTAGATTAAAAAACCCACTGGATTCTAGCTTAAAAATTGATTCTCTTATTTTAAAGCAAGTATTTTTATGCATGTTGTTTGTTTCCTTAAAAAGTTACACAGTAACACATGCTGAATGACCGAGATGCAATGAATCCATTTTAATTGCTCAGTTTCATCTTGTCAGCTGCTACAGGATTCATTAATGATTCTTTGTAACAGCTTTTCTAAACTGAAAAGTAGCAAAAGTGATTCTGCTACAGCTATTTTTGCTAGTTCTTCCCTTTCTAAAAACCTGTGTGCTGTCTGGGCTAAGCCTTTGGCTGAACCGGTAGTTAAGGAAGGGCTGTAAACACAGACACCATGCTAAATTGAAGTTAATGACACAAACTTCTTTCTTAAAATACATCCAATTGCAAATGACTCTCAAAACTAAGACTGCATGACACCAGTAGTGTTTCACCTGCTAGGTATGGAAGATATCACCTTCTCTTGCAACTGTACCTGAATCTCTCTTATTTTACTCAATAACAGTGCCATACGCCGACCGGTCTGTTACACTGACAAAAATCTTTCCAGTGACCACAAGAAACAGATCTGCACATTGAAAACTGTACCTTGTGGCTAGAGGACAGTGCAATCCTTCAAACAGTGCCCAGATTTGTAAACAGATGCCTTTTAACTTTGATGGTCTCTCAAATTCAGAGCTAAAGGTATACAAGCAATGCTAGAGTAATCAGTTGCAGGTAAAAGTTAACTTTCAAAAAACCCAAACACATCTGGTTTATTAATTCAACATTTTAAAGAGTTACCAGTTCCATCAGCATTTTCATCACTTCTTCTGTCACAAGGTTCTTGGAATAATCCAGTAAGATATCCCCATGATCGGTGTTCAGAGTCAAACTGTCAAAGTAAACAGGTTGTTTAATTGCACATTCCTGAAGTGACTGTTTTAAGCAAGACAGTGATAACTCCTCTACAGATTACAAAATAACTGGAATCCTAATTATATTAAGTTAGTAAAGATGACCCGAGGGACTGATCTACCCCACAAGTTTCCTAAAGTGACTTACTAGTGTGTTGTTTCAATTGAAGAGCATGGTTTTCAACAAGCTAAATTATAGTTTCCACTTTCTGCTTGTGAAAGTCTAAATACAATGAAGTATATTTAACGCACAGTTGGACAATCACATTCTGTTTTCACTGAGCCACTATCGTCCCCCAGCAACCACCAGCTGCTTCCTCACGTAGCACAGGTATAAAGCTTACCACAGTCTTTTGCTGCTGAGAAATTAAAACTGTCTTCCTACAGGCCCTCTCAACAAATACAGCAATCCTTTTACATGGAGATTTGAACAAGCCTGATTTAAAAATCTGTGCAACTTCATGTACAGAAACATTCTGTCAACTACCCTGCAGAATTAAACCCCATCTGTGCACGCTGTAGTCTCACTGCCGTCACCAACTCAGTAGAAGTCTCCAAATTATTTAACTAATCCTCATGTGTAAGCTGTAGCCCATCACTTTAAAATACAAGCACTTTTGGGTTTACATGTGAGATGAAACACAGAAATGGTAGTCCAAGAGAAATCAAGTATTGTATTGTATTTACCAGCCTTGTATCTACGTGAGAAGTTCTACAGTCCCTCTAGTCCTTTTACAGTACAGTTTTCTTTCCATTTCTTCTTTGTACTAATTTACAGCCAAATATACACATTTACTCTAAAACTGAAGAGCCGAAGTCCTGTAAGTAACTCAGCAGGCCTTCTGTAAAAGCACAGCCAGCCCTTTATGTCTCACTCTTGCGCCACACACACAAGCCACAGGAAATTGCATGCACCTAAATTCTCAGTGTTTCCGTGTTGCTCTATGCCCCCTGCTTTTCCTTGCCCAGTATTTGAGCACAGAAATATGCACTGTTATTTTAGTGAGCACGTAACGCCAGAGACCTCGCAGGGACAAACCGTGGCATAACTGCTAATCCGAACAGACATGACAGGACAGAGCAGGCAAGACTCGGCAAAGGAAGAATGGAGCTGAACTTGCAGTAACAGAAATAATCACCAAGGCCTAGACATTTGGGTGGCTTCATTAAACCGAGGAAAAACACAGGAACCCGTCCTTTTTCTGGTCTTAAAATACTGAATTTCATTGAATTTTTAGAGTTGGAAGGGACCATAGAGATCATCTAGTCCAACTCCTCTGCTAAATACAAGAGACAGTAAATAAGGAAAGGAAGGGGTCTTCAAGCACAATCTCAGAAGAGTGTTTCTTTTATAGGTGAGAACCCAAGGGAAGTAAGGAAAACCAGTATCAATGCTGTTAATCACCCTGCTCTTCAGTGGGCTGCAAATAACAGCCCTGAAACCCTGACCATCCAAGTGCAAAGATACCTCAAATATAAACACATTTGACTAATGACACAGCAAGGCAATAGTACACTAATGCTCCAGCCGTTTAGAGCAGCAGAACTCCTAAGTCTCATACTCCAGTTTAATACAGAAAGATAGTCTTTCCCAGTGTTCTACTCCATGAACATGAAATCCTTACAATCTTCCCCTTATGTTTACCTGACACAAGCCTTACTTCTACAATTCATTGTTATTTTAATTGTATGAATACACGTCTATCTCACTAGACCTGGAAAACAAAGTATCCCATGAAATTCTGGGTGGATTCAAAGCACTGCTCATTTGAGGAGACTGCAGGACAACGGCCTCCTGAGAACATGGCATCCTGAGATATTTCATGCAAAAAAAGCCCGCAATGGCTCCCAGATCTCACTTCTCCCCACACAAGGCGGAACATGCAATGTAATCTCATTTTAAGCCCTCACACCCAGGGACCCACCCTTTATTTGAGCAGAACCCCGAGCCCCTGCAGCGCAGTGGCGTTCTGCAATGCAGCAGCTCGTGGCAGCGCTGCCCAGGTGGGACAGGAGCCTCGGCACGTAACCCACATCCACACTGACACGATGCAGCCCTTTGGCAGAAGGTCACCTGCAGCATCTCACAATGATTTCATCTCCCACCTAAACATGAACTAAAGCAGCTGTATGCAACCCCAACATGGATTAGGCATGGATTCCCTGGTGGTATGTTTGCCATTTAGATTGGAAGCTCTTTCTGATCCTTCACAAGCCAGCCAGCAGGAGTGTAACTAGGGCTTTACATCTCGCACCAGCTATTTGCATCGAGAGTACCTTAATCAGCACCCAGGTATCAATTATCTGCTGAGTTTAATGATGGCTGCATCATACCAGTTCTAACCCCTTCAAAACTAGTAGTGTTTCCAGTGACCAAGCCATGTTGTTAAGACCCGCTGTTCCAACCAGTTCCATATTTGGGAGGCAAAGAAAACCCAAGTGCACCCGACAGATCTGACTACAATCCCCATCAGGAAAACAGGATATACCACTTTGAGGAAGAAAAAGAGGACAAAATGAAGACAGGATGTTTTATCTATACTCTGTGGGACACAGTGAGTGTAAGGTTATGATAACATTAACTAGATACTTGTGCTCAGAGATAAAATATTCAGACTACAAATTATTCACACCAGTCTGAAATATCTCCAGAATCTCTTGGAAAGCACTTTTCCACAGGTATAGGTTTCTCTTTTCCTTCTAAGAGAAGGGAGACAGTAAGTGGTTCTATGATCATACCTCACAGAACTAAGTGAAAGGTATTCACAAAGCTTAATTTCACATGAGTGTCACAAACTACAGAGGACCTTGTGGCCAAGCCTCCAGGCTGCTTTGGCTTTTAACAGACTTTAACTACCATCATCTGCTGATCTGGCTCCCGAAGTGGCAACCAGCAAGAACCACACAAGATCTGTTAAACTATCCCAGGCTCTCAGTTCTGCAACTATATTTTGCTATCAGAAACTTCTCCTGAGGGTCCAGAATGTGTAGGATTATTAGGAAACAGGACTGAGATCATGAAAAGAAAGGATTAAGATGGATTAAATAAATTTAAAACACTTTGACTCTTTCTATCCTTACGGGCAGCATAAAAGGACATTAAGTTAGGCAGCTATTTGAAATAGATGACCTTGGTAAAGAATGATTGACAAAAAAAATAAGATAAACACATTCTAGGAGACACACTGATTACTTTCAGCATAGGGAAAATGTGTGTCTAAAATGACAGTTGTCAAATATCTTTTCCTTGGTTAACTGTACACAGTGACAGAGCAATTAAATACCAACTATTTGAGACTGAGAGTGTATTTTATGGTTAAAGTACTCTAGATAATATGAATGTCACAAGCAATGAGATGAAGATGCAGTGCTACCCTCAATAAGAGTACCTGCTCAGCCATTGAGGAAGGAACCTTGAAAGAAACCTCTTGATTATACCTTTTATTTAGCTGGTTTGCTTCACCTTTCTTTTGTTCTAAGGATATTACCAAATCCAGTCTCTTGGGATATACTGGACATAAGGAAAATTTGCAACCTTCTCTATGGGAGAAGAGCTGGTAGATTTGCATGAGGTAATATTAATAAAGATCTGTAACTGTATAAGAAGCTAGAATAGCCAGATGAAGTCAACGCTCTAAAAATTTATCGTACCTTTTCCATCAATTCAAAGGACATTTTAGCTCTTGTATCCTGGTATGCAGGATTTCATACGTGATGTTTAATCACCCCTTAGGAAGTGGCTAATGAGCTCAAGAGGAAGGAAGAGTCGCTTTTACCTAGGACACTAATGGGAAGCTTCCTACATGCAACAAGTCATCTCGGCAGGGGCGAGCAGCAGCTCGCTGTACCTGCCTTACCCGGGCTCGCTTTGTAACTCAACCCAGGGACACATCTACATCGTATCAGGCTTTTACAACTGCTGTGTAGTCCAACACCGTGACCACACACACGATTTCTGTGCACGGTCTCCAGCGCACAGGAGGAAAGCGCCGCACATCACCACACTGCTACCGCCTCCGGCTTCCTCCTCCGGCGAAGGGGCTGCAATGCTCGCTCTGTAACGTGGACTCTATGAGGCGAGGGAGGGCTAAACCTGCCAAACCCCCCCTCCCGCCCCCCAAATTCCCCACCGGGGCAGGGGCAGGCACGGCGGCGCTGCCCGCAGGTAGGGGCCGGGGGACGGTCGGCTCCCGGCGATCTTATCGCGGGGCTTATCGTGACTAAGCAAGCACGGCGGGTGCGGGAGGCGCGGGACCCACAATGCCGCTGTGCGAGCCGCAGCCCGGCGCTGTGCTTCCCGGCACGTACCCTGCTGCAAGGATGAGTCAAGGACGAGCGGGCAGGGCCGCCCTCAGCGGGGGCTGCCC